TTCTTGGATTGATTTGAACGAAAAAGCTGCTGCTGCCCATAAAAAAAAATAAAATCAAATGTTCTCACTATGGAAAGAGACGGCGTTTCCGTGAGCAGTGCCATTTTTACGTGCTTAGACTTTCACTAAGACACTGGAAAACATTTTCGCATTACATATAATCAAAACATATTCCAGCTCATAAGTGAAATACCACTGCCTGCGTACGTCATTGTCCACTGGACCGGTGCAGTTCTCTTGATCGCACCGTTGTGTACTTCACTGCATACTTCGTTTAACACACCGTATACGCTAGATGTCATAGTTCCTCCAGATATGCTAGCGGTAAGTTTGCAAACTTCAAATATATCATTTCCAATTTTAGTTTATTTTTTAAGCAATTGAATATTTACGTGAAGAGCCTCAGACGCTCCACAAAGTCACAGTGCTTGTAGTGCAACAAAGCATGCAAGTACACTCATAAATATCTTGAAGAATTAAAGGCAGGCTGGAAATTCGATGTTTTGCAGCGGTAGATGCAACGTTTGCTTTAGCGTATCTTCGATATTCCACTCAATGAATACCCAATAAGTGGGGCTTTTGGAAAGGATGAGCAGTACCAAACACTATATCCCTCTTCCAAATCACAAATATGTTTTGATAGTGGTCAAAAATAGCTTCCTTCTTTTCAGCTTGCAAGTTTAATGGCACTGATCGCCGTTGTTGTATTCTTCAGCATTTCTATGGTTTGCTACATTTCCATAGTTATTCATTTGTTGCGGTTCAACTACCTCAAGAACAGGTACAGTACAGCTAGTTACAAAGTATATCATTTTCTGTCGCTCTTTCCAAAGTATAACATTTTCTGTCTCTCGTTCTCCTATTCTCAGCATCGCCCTTGAAACAAATTTTTGTATGGCTTTGGCCTTTACCGTCTTCGTGCGCTCTGCGAAGACGGTAAAGGCACAACCCACAAGAAAGGGTTAGCATAATCCTGCTAAGAAGCTGAAGAGCAAAAGCAGTCAGCGAGGGCGAGGCGTACTTTGGGCCAAAGATTCTCTGGAAAAGCTAAAGTGTTGTTTCTTTTAGCCAGTGGTTCATTCTTCCAGCGTGGTAGTGTAAACGGTTTTCGCCGATCTCCATGCACTTTAGTCTAACAAGGGAGGTGGTTCAGGGTGTGCCAAGCTTTTTCAGAATGGTTTCTTGCAACATTGCACAGTGAGAACAGTAGAACCCATGGTTCCCGGTTTCCTGACCGTGCTGCCACACACAACAAAAGGGGTCCCGAGGTCGATCCCGTGGGACCAATTGTTGCCGTCGAAGTTGACGTGCACAATGTAGCGCGAAATGAGTAGCATATACCATATCACAACCGGACCCGCATCACTCCTTAAAAAAGAATGACAAAAAAAAAACAGGTGAAAAAGGTGTGGCACCAAAACGGCCCCACTGTGATGTCACAACTTCTTCACCAGCTTTTTGATCAAAGTCTATTGACTGATTAACAACGGTCCTAATCCATGAGAGCGGTACTAATACCATGGCAACTGAAATGGTACTAATGATCCCAGCACCTCATTTGCGAAATCTGAAAACGTCCAGCTGCGGACAGCAAAAAATGCCACCAAGAGGAGGACAGAGCCCCCATTTTGCCATTCGCAGGCGCCAAGAAAAACACATGGTTCGGGTCTCCTGCATGTGCCCCTAGTCAGCCAAAACACGTTTCGTTAAGCTTGGCACATACGAACGACCTCCCTTTAAGATAACTTGCTTTCTCATTGCACCTTGGTTGCCTCTCGTGTCCAAGCTCTTATTATCCTCCCCACTTCAAAGGGGTATCTGCATTCCTAATTAGGCAGTTACTGCTTTCTATGACTTCATCGTATTAACTGGTGGTCCACTTCGCACCCCAAATTTCATCGTTTTTCGCATTTCGTACGGCCCTCCCACCTCAACTGGTTGACTTTGTGGCATGCTTCTAACAGTTCTTTCCACAATCCAGGTGCTGAAATTTACTTATAAAACTGGAATCAAAAAATATAAAATTAAAAAATTTAACTTTATAAAATTGAGCTTTTGTAAGATTTCCCTCTAGCCTGTTAGCAGTTCGACCGGTTATGGAGGGATTTTCCTCACAATAGACATGCTCACTTCATTACCTATGTACAGCAAAACATTACCTTCACTATCAGACACATGATCCCGGCCGCTTCTACTTTACTCAGTATTACGGAACTTCCTGCTTTTCAGCTCAAATCGACAAGAGGTTCGACTCTGCATACAAGCAACAGGATTATTGCTCGCATTCTTATTGCTCTTCATCTATCATGTGGGGCAGTTTGTCATTAATGATCTCGGCGACGTGAGTAACGGGTTTTGATACATCAGCCTTAGCCTACTTATGGAATGAATAAGCATGTGCAAATTGTGCAATTTCAGCTGAATCTTCTTTTCACGTGGCGACTGTTCAATCCACTAGTTACTGGTTTCGTTTCATGTGTGCAGCCATGGATGTGCCTTGCATTCAACGCTGAAGTTCGGCAAAATGTCCTCCGAATACTAGCCTGTCAACGAAAACACCTCCTTCTCTCCAGAGTATGCAATACTATTTGTCTCAAAAACTCTGATTTTGTTGGCATGAGCTGATGTAATGCAGTAGCTAGCTGTGCTGCGCCGATATCATTATTTGTCGTCTAAAAGGCCAAATTCATGGAGGATGAGGGATGATACATCCGGCGTTGCACCATTTCTCGATGGGATATCCCACGTATTCCACTTCGCCCCAAAATCGCGGAGGAAATTCTGGTACCCATTCATCCAACCTCAGAAGGATGGGAGGCCGGGCAGCCAGAATTTTGCCTTCGAACCGTGTGCGTGGTAAGCAGTACCACTTGCCTCTACTCGCTTCGCTTCCGCTCGGAGCTGAATGCATAAATATGGTGGCAAGGTTGAACTCCAAGAAACGCTGTCACACAAAAGTCATTAGGCCTCCTGACATCACCAGATGATATAATCCTAGGCATTTTAATCGCTGGTTTCATCATTTCATCCGATACGTTTTCACTTCATCCGATACGGTCGGGGTCTTTGAGATGCGTTGCTCAAGATCAATTTTATCCGAAAACTGATCCTCAGACCGTCACCCTGCTGTGGAGAAGCACACCTAATGACCGTGCTCCTAAAGTTAGTTCGCTAGAGGGTGATCGCAACCATCTCAAGCGGGGTGCCTAACGCAGTTTCGATGCAGAGATTAGCAAACAGAACTTGACTTAAAGATTCGAGAGTTTAGATCAAACGAAAGGGTTATGCGTAGCAGACTTAGAACACAGGCCTATAAATTTCGTAAATGGCAAGCGCTTCAGAATATGCAGAAAAAAGAGAGACAAAATCGTGGAGGGCTTCAGCC